TCCAATCATTGATACAATTTTTGGTATCTTCATATGATGTGAAGTGCTGCTCAGATAGGCCATGCGTCATCGATCGGAACAAGTGGTAATCGGAAGGAGCAATGTCTGGAGAATACGGCGGGTGGGGTAGAACTTCTTATTTGAGTGTTTCTAAGTAGGTTTTGATCGGCGCTGCAACATGTAGTCGAGCATTATCATGCAGGAGAATAATTTTTTGTCATGCCTGGAGTAGTAGTGGGCGCGTTTTTCTTTGAGTGCTCGGCTCAATCTCATCAATTGTGTTCGGTAGAGAGCCTCAGTAATGGTCTCATTCGGTTTGAGCAACTCATAATACACGACACCAAGCTGATCCCACCAAATACATAACATGAGCTTTTTCCATGAATATTCGTCTTGGCTGTCGATGTTGAAGCATGGCCAAGTGACTAGGTCCCCATGATTTCCTCTTCTTTGGGTTATCGTAGTGGATTTTTCATCACCAGTGACTATACAATGCAAAAAAACCCTTTCGTTTATGTCTGGCAAGCAGCATTTCACATGTGAAAAATCAGCGTTCAACATTTCTCGATTTCAATTCATATGGAACCCAATTCCCTTGCTTTTGAATCATTCCCAATGATTTCAAACGATATGAAATTGTTTGTTGAGTCATTCCTAATGTAAATGCAAGTTCTTTTTGCGTTTGACACGAATCTTCATCCAATTCCGCATCGTCGTACACTTTCGGCCTTCCGCTACGTTCTTTGTCTTCGACGTCAAATTCACCGTTTTTAAACTTTTGAAACCACTCACGACAACTTCTCTCACTTAAGGCAGCATCACCATATGCTTCTACAAGCAATCTATGAGCCTCAGCTGCAGATTTCTTCAAATTAAAGAAGTAAATCAAAAGTTCCCGCAAATGACGCTTATTCGGCTCAAAACTCGACATTTTCATACAAAAAAAAATATATGATGCTGATACAAAATCGCTAATATTTCAAGGTTATGGTATTGCCGGATGTCCAATCTTACGATATGTCGTTTCATCAAACAATTTTAACTATACTTTATTAGTGGCGCCGTCTTTTGCAAACGGCGGAAACTTATTTGTATTCCCAATAAAATATTTGTGAAAATGAACAAAAACTATCCCTCGTGACAGTCAATAAATAATCGTAAAAAATGATGAAAGGTACGTGTAAGTGAAAACAGATTACGCATGTGTATTGAATAAAAGCATCACGTGTCATCTTTTATCACTTTTTACAATTATTTACTATCAGGAGGATAGTCTATGAGTATAGCTTTCATCCATTTTTACAATCGTTTTACAGAGTGTTTTAAAACGTTCTCATCATTTCGTCTTATCTAAATTATTTTATTTACAAATGGTACGTAATAAAAATTAATATCATTTCTTGTTTCTAAGTCAATTCAATGTGGCTGTATGATGACTACTCAGGAGCATATAAGGATATATAATATACAAACTTGCATAGCCGCAACAAACATATGCATAAAGAAAATTATCCAATCATATTTTACGCAATGCAATTTTGTAAGAGAAATGCGATTGGATAATTTTCTATATGCATATTTATGCAGCTATGCAAGTTATGTGAATATACATAAAGGCAGGAGCACAAACTTTTGCACAACGCATAGTATATAAGCGAATCAATCAATTAGAATCCTTCTTTTTTCTCCCATTTTCTGGAAAAAAATTTTGATTGGTTGATTTTCTTGTGCACTATGTGTTATGCAAAAATCTGTGCTACGGCCTTTAAATGAGAAGCACAGATTCTTACATAAGAAAATCAATTAAAATTCTTCATTTCCTTCTTTTCCATGAAATAATTTCCTCTTCTAATTGATTCATTTTCTTATGTGTTATGCAAGAGTCTATGCTCTCCTATAGACTTCTATATATTACACTAGACCAGCTAACTCTGTCCCTTTAACTGCTGCCAACAATTTTCTTAAAATATACGCATTCTCAAAATAAAACTCATGCCAGTTTAATCAACAGAAAGATATACGACGTCTTGAACCAATCACAGAGAGGCATACATCTTGAATCACAAAGTGATGTGACCTATTGGTATCTCTTTTTTGTATGTGCGGTCACGTGACGACTTATTCTGCGCATCTAATGAGTCTTCTACAATAAACCATTAGTATCATAAATCAGAAGTCAGAAGCTAAAAATTGACAATCACAGTCGTCAATTTTTAGCGTCAGACTTATGACTAATGGTTTATTATAAAAGGCCCATAAAATGGGGAGCACAGATTCTTGCATAACGCCTAATACATAAAGCATAAGAAATTCAATCAGTTCTTTATTTCATGGAAAAGAAAGAAACAGAAGACTTTAATTGGTTTATTTTCTTGTGCATTATGTTATGCATTATGCAAGAGTCTGTGCTCTCTGCTTATCCACACAAACTTGTATAGCCACATAAAGAAAATTATCCAATCACATTTTATATGCGATTTTAAAAGAGAAATGTAATTGAATAATTTTTTTATATTTATATATTTATGCGGCTATGCAAGTTTGTGTGGTTATACCTTAATTCGTGCAGGCAGCACTTTTATGTAAGAAAATGTGAAGAATTAGCAGTCTAATGTAATATACAAGTCTATGTGCTTTCTGCTTTAATTTCAAATTAAAAATTTTTATAATAGTAACATCTTTAATTCATTTCTTACATTTCGTTCTGTCTTACTCAAACGTATACATCTGTCCTTATCTGCATAACATATTGCTACATTATCTCTTGTAAGATCGAGCATTTTTTTTGCTGAACATAATTTGACACAATTACTGTTTTATTTACTATTCTGAGTCTTCGCTGAGCATATGTATACATAAATTTGCAAATTAATATTTTTTTTAAGCTATTAATCTTAATTTCATAAACTTAGTATTGTTTCGTTCACCTAATTTGACGGGTAGTGCAATGTCGCTTTTTTGTTCATACGAACTATAAAACTTTTGTATTAAAAAAACATTTATGTCAGTTAACAGCTCTATGAGTTGAAAAATAAATAAGGTTTTAACTTTCTTCAATCTTAATATAAAGCCCACTGCACTACTTCAATTTTGCGTCTATTTTAATCCTGTAAAAGAACTTTTTATTCTGTTCAGTCAATTCGGAGATTTATGATATCAATCTGCAATGTTGCGACAATTTGATCACTCCAGTATCCCTCACCGTTCTTTCTACTTAATTCATAAGAGTGCCATTTAAATTCAAATGATGGTCATTCAAGTACATATTATATTATTAATTTATCGCTTACAAAGATATTAATGTTCATTATGAATATTTGAATTACATTTTTAACATCATATTTATGACTGGAAGACATGAATGGTAATTGAAAATCAATTATTGAATTTTACTGAACATATGAGTGACATCCATTATTTTTTTGTGGCATACACAAATGCTTCTTTTTTATTTATAATTGAAAAAATAAAAATTTTGAATTTAGAATTATTTTAAAATGATATGCTATTTATACGTAATTGATACTAAAAGAATTAATACTAGAAATTAAAATATTTTGTAATTAGTATTAATATTTTTAACGTTATTTATTAGTATAGTATTTTTAACATTATCTATTAGTATAAAAAAACATAGATAAATACGAATATAGAATCTCATAGCATATATGATGATAATTAACTAGCGTCATGCGAAAGCCATTCCAAATTATCACTCTTTTTTGTTGTATTTATTAATAAATTAAGATGTAATTACTAATTATTTAAAATTATAATCATTTTGTACACTATTTCTATTTGTTACAGAAAACTGTAGTGTTATTAACTGTTATTGTTATTAACTCTGTAATATATTGTACTGCTTCTGTAATGTATAAATATTTATTCAAAAATTTATAATATAGTAAATAATTTGTTATTATAAGTGCCAAATTCCTCATAATCATATTGCAAAAAATGTAACTTATTGTTAGTTATTTCATTTTGTATATTATGTTATTATGAAGTAAAATTTTCTATTCTATCGTTGAATTGTCTTCTATTTATTGTAGCAATTTTTTATCTATTTGCATTTTTAATAAAATTTTTGCAATATATGTATGTATAATTTTTGCAATATATGTATGTATAATTTTTGCAATATATGTATGTATAATTTACTTCGAATGCTGCTTCTTGCCACATATAAATAATGTGAATACATTGCAAGGATTAAGTAACTCAAATGACAGAAACTTTTATTAAAAAATTCTAATTCTATAATAAAAATAAATTACATTTTTCTATACAACAATAATATATTCTTTTTACAATGTAATTACAGATGTATATTGAATTCATTGATTGTGTGATCATATTACTATACGTACAAACACAATTAATACATAATGTATTGCGAACATACATTTTTTACATATCTTCCTTTTTTTATATATTCTAATCTTCAAAATATTAGAATAAGCAAAATGATTGTTGATTGTCATATAATGAAAAGTTTGGATCTGCTTAATGAAATAAATTGCTCAATTAACAAATAAAACATAAATCGGCGATCAATAAAGCTCGAATAAAGCAACGAGTAAGTTACTAATTACTGCATATATCTTTACTTACTAACTATTCTCTTTTGTTCTTTGCACGGCAGTGAAAAATAATAAACAATAAAGAAACATTCATAATTGTATTTAAGACTTTAAATATGTAGATATACACATATATATTTTATAGGAATTAACTAATATTTTGGCAACGCTGTATTATGTGTGCATCCCATAAATTATCTTGAAATTTATTGCACATGATTTCTTCTTGTTCTTAGTATTCTTGATCTCTGTATTTACCTTCCATTTGATTGTCGTAATTCTTCTAGCTACGGTATGTGTGAATGATATATTATTTTTATACATATGGTGTGTGTGTGTGTGTGTGTGTGTGTGTGTGTGTGTGTGTGTGTGTGCGCGCGCGCGCGCGCGCGCGCGCATACATGTATACATGTATACAGAGTGTCCGACGGGTAATGACCACATAATCTCTCGTGAGCAGGTAGAGCAGACTAAACAAAGTCAAAATGTCCTCTGTACTATTTTGCGATTTTCGCAATAGTTAACAAAATATTGATTTCTAAAAATCGTTGAATAGTACGGCCTATTGCTAAGCACAAGCGCAATGAGATACGACTATTCATCGTCGTAGTTTGCTAGACATACGAAAAGTTGTTTACTATAAACAGCTTTGGCAATGCATGAGCAGCAAAAGAAGCATCTCGTGCTGGATGGTATCGCGCTGTGCGCTTGCTTTGATGGTAGGCTGGGTGTATTTATTCGGCAATCTTTGGAAATTAATGAATGCTTTCCAACAAGGACGTAGTCACTGTAACTCAATGAATCATTACATCTTTGTTATTTGCCTATGTTAAACAAGGATGAAACGATTCACTGCGTTACACAACGTTTGACTGTGTCCTTGCTGGGAAGCAAGGACACCTAATGTATCGTAATTATTGTAAAATTGTAGAGAACTTTTTTACTCGGTCTGTTTTACGAGATTATGCGATCATTATTGAACATTCTGTATATGTGCGCGCGCGTGTGTATTACGTTATACAATATTTATAAATTGAAGTTCAGATTATTTATTTTTCTTACCTCTTTTTCATCATCAACTTCATCCTCGTCATCTGAACCATGTACAGAAGCGGCCGGTGTCGTATGTCGTGAAGATAATGGAGATGGCGGTTCACTGATTGGTCTGGGATAATTAAATCGACCAACCCCACCCTCTGCATATTCTGACGCTAGTTCTGAATACAATGTGGTTAACGCCTTTATTCTTGCTTGACGATAATACTATGGAAAACATAAATATAGAAGATATAAAAGATACAAAATAAATAATTCAAAAAAAATATGAGATATGCATGTCTTACAATGCCAAGATTTCGCCAATCGAGGAGATCACTAAGACGTTCTGTACGATTTCTTTGAATGATACGTTGACGACGGCTAAGTCGTGCGAAATCAAACATATACTGAGCAAGCTGTTGAACACTTGCTTCTAAACCAATAAAACGCCTATCGACAATGTAAATACCATAGCTCATCGGATCTGCTATATGCTCCTGCATAAAACATCCAAATCCTGATAAGTTAGTAGTAATGCTGGGTATTCCCATAACTGTGCATTCAGCTGGTGTATAACCCCATGGTTCATAATATGAAGGAAAAACACCTAAATGACATCCTCTAACAAATTCCTCATAATCAAGACCAAATAGTGGATTTGTCGAAGATAAAAATTCTGGATGAAATACCATCTATAAATAATACATATTAATTATATAAGCATAATATTGATTATGTATTAAGTCTGATTATTGTTGTATAAACAGTTTCTGGGTTGAAATCTGATATTTCCTGCTCTTATTGCCTATACTTTTCAATTGTGCAATAGGTTTTAATCTCAGTGCTTAATTTAAACCCTATACAATACGTGTGTGTGCAAGTCACGTATTTGCAAGTGTCATTACATATACCTTAACACGATCATGGACAGTGTTGAAAAGATTACATCTTCTAATGGCATTTAACACCGGATCATTCCAATCATCAACAACATTATGTGTCGTAATAGGTGGTAATCCATTTCTTTGCAGAGCATATAAACATCTGTAAAATAAATGGAATATCAAGTAAATCAAGATTAGTCACAGAATATTAGTTTGATTATTTTTTGAAAAACCGTTTTATTTTAATAGTATCCTCTTTCTCCAACAAGTCCTGAGCTTCAGGCATGCGACCAGAGAGACATAATTCATACATTCGTTTCCCTATTTTTTGCTGTATATCATTGATAGTATCTCGTAAAGATTTTGTTACCTGAAATAGTAATTTGACAAGACATACACACACACATATTAATAATTATTATTTCAAATATTAAACTAATATTGCATAAAATAATAATGACTCACAGCATGACCACGGAGAGACTCGACATTAAAGTTATTAGTTCTTGCAGGAAAAATAAGGAAAGCAACCACTGTTAAATCAGGTCTGGACGTTTTTAAATAATGATTTAATCTGGCCAGAGCTTCTATGAATATATCAGCTCCTTTATTTCCAAATTCATATCGACCAGCGGTAAAGAAATATAATGTTTTGTCTAAATCAAAATCATAATGTCTGCGAACATATATAAGTTTGAATATTGTATGAGAGATATATCTATAAGATAAATCGTAAAAAACAGAACACCAAATATTTCTATTAGATTTAAAGATAGAAGAAAACATTTCAGAAAAATTGCATTAAATACAAATCGCTCTTTCCTTAAAATTATTTTCAAGATCATTTTGAAGTTATTAATGTTTTTTAAAATTATATGTTTCTAATTTGATAGTATTATAAAACAAACATAATATGTCTGTGTCTTTCAAATGACTTTGAATGTGAAAATTTTCAAAGTAAGTATGTATCAAACATCTAACTTTTGGTACAGTATAACGTTTCTCTTAGATTTTTTTCTACTTTTGAATTTAACATAAAATAAATATTTAGATGTTCCTAACAATAATCAAGAGATTAATGAGTCAAGCTCAATGGTCGCTAAATAATCTTTTTACAAATTATTTATTGATAAAACAATATAATCAATGCTCTAAGCGTAATCAAACATTTCAAAGACTACAATATCGCAACATGTTTTCTATTAAAAAGTCATTCTTAATCTGTTGAAACCATTTTACGATATTAATAATAAGAATCTTATTTAAATATATGTGAGAACACAATCAATAAGAAATTAAATGCCTATAACGGTAGAAGCTGAATCTTTAATGCTTAAATAATTAAAATGTGAATTATATATATTATGAATTATATATATATTATAT